CCTTTTTCCTGTTGGTTGACCGTAAAGAGGAGAGTGCGGCGATGTGACCAAAAGTCATAACTAGAATCATTTCGACCTGACACTGACCGTCCCGCGTAACTGCTACAGGTGTTCCTGGTGATCGAAGCACTGGCTGACGGCGCCGTCAAGGAGGGCATGCCCAGGGACCTCGCCTACCAGCTGGCCGCGCAGACCGTCCTGGGGGCGGGCCACCTCGTCATGGAGACCGGCCAGCACCCCGCCAAGCTGCGCGACGACGTCACCTCGCCGGCGGGCTCCACGGCCGCCGGCCTCGCCCACCTGGAGAAGTGCGCCGTGCGCGCGGCCGTGTCCGGCGCGGTGGAGGCCGCCACCAAGCGGTGCAAGGAGATGCAGAAGAAGTGAGCGCGCTCCCGCTCACGAAATCGTCCACTAGTCAAACGCCGTCCAGTTCAAATGTGGAGGAACTCTCCACGATGCACCAAAGGCATGGTGCGCACCCTGTTCACTTTTTTAACCAAATAAATCTATTTTTTCTATGTCGGAAACAAACACGGGGTGTTTCGGATTTTATTTTGCCTTGCATCGTGAGTGTGTCACCGGCTCGGTATTTCGATTCTAAAGTCCACTTCCTTCTCTGCCAGAGGGCAGCGAAAAGTCGCCAAAATGTCTTTGGTGCTGGAGCATATTTCGCTGTTGATAATTTTGGGTCGAACGTGAATAGTGTGGAAATCTAGGGCAGAAAAAAGATGCAAGTCAGTGTCTTCGAGTGCGAGTGCGGAGCCCCCTGGCGTTAGGCAGCCCATCGTACTGCAAAAGAGGGAGGGGGGAGGGCACTCACTGATGGCGGAGTCGAGACGCAGGCGGCACATGTCACCGACCGTGCTCATCCTCCTGAGCACGCCGTCAAAGTGGAAGTGGGACAGGCGGTCGCAACGAGCCAACAGGTCCAGGATCACGTCGTCCACCTGCTCGCGACTGTTCTTGAGGTTGAGCTGGACCATCTCTGGAAAAAGAAAGAACAGTACATTGAGTATAAATTACCGAAAATTTGGCTGAACACTACCACGCCTTTAGGCGAAACTTACCCAGCGACCGGTGGTAGTTGGCGGTGAGGAGGCGCAGGGTGGAGCGGAACGACCTGGAGCGGCTCTGGTCCCAGACACGGCCAGAGTATAGGCGAAAACCGTACAGCGGCATACTAGGAAGGAGCAGTCCAACGATGTCCTCGTGGTGGCCGAGGTTCTCTGTGCAAATAGGAAGATAACAAATGATTAGGTCGCACTGCAGAAAAAAACAATGCTATTCTGGTAGAAATATATCCGCTTGGGACTGCGCCAAACCGATATTGAGGACAGTGCGGAGGTCGGGGCAGGCGCGAGCAACGCCGGCCCAGGCGTCCTCTGAGAGGGCGTGCTGTCGATTGTCGGTGTCCCGGACGGTGATGGACAGGAGTTGCAGGGCGGGGCCGCAGCACTCGGCCAGCAGCCCGAGCGTGGCGTCGGACAGCGCGGGGTAGTCCAGGCACAGCGAGGACAGCGGGCAGACGCGCCGCAGGGCGCGGGAGAACCTGCGCAGGCGCGAGGTAGGCCACCGGCTCCGGGGCTGAGCGCGGCGGGACGGCCTGCCTGCCGGGCGGGCTCACGCGAGGGCTCGGGATCGCGCAGCACACGCACCTGGGCGACGCGTGCGGGGCCTGCCACTCGCGGAAGGCGGCGCGCAGGCGGAGCGCGGTGATGGCCTGCGCAGAGCTGCGCGCCGCGGCCCCGAGGAGGCGCACGACCTCCGAGACGCCCAGGCAGGCGTTCTCCAGCGACAGCATCTCCAAGCGCCTCTGGCTCCTGCGAGAGCAAGGCGGTCATAGCCCCGTGCTGGGGTCCGTCGGGTCCATCTGCAGCTGTCTGTAACACCCACCCGAGGAAGGCGGACAGCGCAGCGAGAAGTTTCCCACGCTGCGACGCACCGCCGCAGGACTTGTGGCTGTGCGCCAGGTCGCGCAGCTGCAGCTGCTCCAGCTGCAGGTGGCCGGCCTGGCCCGCGGCACGCAGGGCCTCCAGCAGGCGCAGCACCGGCGCCAGCGTGCTGGCGGACGCCGCGCCCGGCGAATGGCCAGGGCGCGCCCAGCGCAGCTCGAGCCGACGCACCAGAGGGGCATATCGCGGCGATGCCAGGACGACGCCAGCCGCCCGCTCGTCCCAGCCGGCGCCGCCCGCCGCCCCGGTGGTGGGGCAGGTGGGGCCACCCAGCTGCACGCGGACGCTGCGCCACAGCGGTGCGGCCAGCAAGGCGTCCATCCACCGCCGGCACATGAACCCCGCGCCCAGGCGGTCCCTGCCGCCGCCATGCACACCCTGTTAGGGAAGCTCTAGGTCCGCTAGGTCTACTCGGGGGCGCACGAGCTGCGGCGGCGCTCACCTCGGGCCCAAGAAACCGAACAGCCTGACGAGTACGAGGTCAGGCAGACTGTGCCACGGCGCGGGCGGCCAGGTGCCAACGGACTCAAGCTCCATAGCGTCCATGTCTCTCTACGCCGTCGTTCTGCTCTACCCGAACCCTTCGTACACCTGTTGTCAGCCCCACGGCCCCCAACCCCACGTCAGGAGAGGAGAGGGCGGGGAAGGGTGCGTGAGTGTACCCGCGTTACCAAGCGACAGCCCCGGTCGGTGTATTTGATATTTTTGTGTGTGGTGTACTCCAACCAGAATTGTCTTAAGGTAGTGTCTCATTTTCTTTCTTAATGTGAATTTCTCCACAGGTTGATCAATTACATCTCGGTATTAAACATTCTATGTTTATTTTCATAATGGGAATACAACAATAATGATCAATTCTAGTGTAGAGATTGCATGCAGTGATGTGAATCTAAACATATTTATAAACATGAATTATATTGAGTTTACTATATGGTGAGAGAAAGTTCTATTTCTAAGTAACAAATATAATCACAGATAAGGTTTTATGTACAAGTTATGTATACTTTACAGCATGTTGTTCAATCCAGCGCAACAGAGTATTTTGCAAAAGTCTTCTACAATTACATATGCGTAGATGCTGAAAGGACATATGCTTCGACATTTGTGGCTTCTTTTTCTTTCCTAAAACAAAAAAGATCAGATTAATACATGATTTTGAACTAAAGGTATCAAAGAATTGTCAGTGCCTTCTAGCTTTTGCATTGTGGTTTGATTCAAAGTGCCTCTTATTTAATGGAACAAATATCATACTTTAAAAACCGATGGTCAAGATAAAAGTCAACTGATTGGACTTACCAGGCAAAATACAGTTCCAGGTTTGGTTAAGGTCAAAATGAACACAAAGAAAGGCAGAAGACATAAATGCAGGAAATGTATTGATGACATTAACACTGAAAGCATCTAAAAAGTGAGGAATTAACACAGGCACAAAGCACACAGAAATTAGCACTGCAAGAACCATTCCTAAGATGTTTTCTGAAACAATTTCTCTGGTATCTTGCATATGAAAAATGTGAAGCACAGTTAATTACTAAACAATTAGTGCTTTCTTCCTATTTGTTTTGACTAAACCGTTGCATATAGAATATAGAGACTAAAACAATTGCAAGGTAGTCAAAAGACTAGAACACAGCACGATGTAACTAAATAAGCAACAGATAACAAAGGGTTAAATACTAATACTTTCAGAACACTAACATTTGATAGAAGTGAATCAAGTTAAAATCTAACATTGGTCCATACCTGTGGGAATACCATAAACAATTAAAAGTATTTACAAAGACTTCCAGATAACAAAATATAGTTTTTAAACACTGGATATTTCATTGGCAAAACACTTAATGAAAATAATAACTTGCACACGACACAGCAAGGAAATGGAGGGACACACAGTCAGTCAGTCACAAGAAAAAACTTGGTTCGTTCGTGTTAAATATTTTGAAATGTAATGTAGCACTCTGGCACATGATAAATGCAACGATTTGTAAAAGTAGGATGCAAGAACAGAAAAAAGAGGTGCTCTTGGCAGGATCTAGATAACGTTTTGGTAACTTTGACTACAAAGCTACAATACTATGTTCAGTAGAACAATGCATGTTATACATTTCTATTCAAAGCACAGGGTCACTCAAACTTTGCTCCTGAACATGTTAACATAGTATTATAATTATCTGCTCTTACTGAGACATATTAAAAGCATAGATTAAGTTTCATACATTTTAGCACCAGCTAAGATAAAAGATAAGTGTTAAAAAAAAAGAGTTGAAAATAATAGAAAAGGGAAATAATAATGTTTCCAATGTCAGTCAAAGCAAAACATGATGTACTCCTACTTTGAGATTTTGAACTTCTTTATAAAAATTCAATTCAATTCACAAAAGTGCATTAATCTAAAGTGTTTTCTTTTTTTTTAAATCCAAATCTGATAAATTTTCAAAATTATTACCAATCACTTGTTCATGATTGAAAATTTTAAGTTTTGTATATATGAGCAGCATTTGATTATGACATAAAAAGAATGAGATCTGTCGGTAAACACAAGAGTTATGTCATGGCAGCAAAAAAGAGGGCAATTCAAAATTTACCCCTTCATCTTTTGTAAGCAGAAAGCCACCCAACATACACCAGGGGGAATTCTACACGTATCCCAGGACCTCCATGTAAATTAATTGTTGCTATCGTCATTGCTGTGAGCATCTGCGACAGATTTAAAAAGCACTTGATTCTAACAAAGAAATTATGAGATCTGTTGGTAAACACAAGAAATATGTCATGGCATGGCAATAAAAAAAAGAGCTATTCAGAAGTTGCTCCGTCACCTTTTGTAAGCAGAAAGCCACCCAACATACATCAATGAGAATTCTATACATTTCCCCAGACCCCCTGTTAATTAATTGTCGCTATCGTCACTGTTGTAAGCATCTGCGACAGTGCCCAGTTCCCCAGGACGAGTTGATGACCTTGGAGAAGCTCGATTTAGCCCTCGAATGTGTACATACTGCACGTTGTTGGAGCCTAGAGTACTGCCACTTTTACGTCCACGGCAGCAAACGAACAACGGTCCCAAGAACAGGCTCTCCATTTCCTCAAGGGTTCGACCCCTGGTTTCGGGAAGGAATGCAAAGATGATGGAAAATCCTATGAGAGCAATGCCCACATATAAAAAGAATGCTCCTGAAATAAAAATTTTAAATAAATTAGGTGTGTTTTATTACAGACATTACCTTAGTATTAAAACATACACTTAATATTACCTGCATTTCCAAGTGCTTCAATGAGAGAGAGAAAAGAAGCAGATATAATCAAATTCCCTAGCCAACTTGCACTTGTTGTTATACTAGTGCAGAAACCACGGGCCCATAGAGGATATATTTCAGAATTGATGGTCCACGGCATAGGACCCATACCTATAAGCAAGATAGATGTACAAATTAGAAGCTGAAGCAAAGTGACACACCATATCAGTTTTATTGGAAAAAATTAAAAGAAATAGACCTATAAGAAAATCTTACCCGGAGCAAAAGAAACAAGATACAAAGTCATTGCCAAAATTGGCAGCCAGAAGTATTTCGTTGGGCACCAGCCATTAGCAAAGTCAATATTAGCAGGATATTTGGTCAATAAATCACTTTTTTCTGAGCACTGCCCGTCCGTAGGTTTTCCAGAGTCCGCATCTAATTTCCAGCATGAACCATCTAGAATAGATCCATTTCCAGCTTTCACAAAGCAGAATCCACAACCGTCTGGAACACTGATGCATTCTTGACATGAACTGTGGAAGCAAAAGAAAAATGTTAATTGGAAATACTTTTTCTTGTAATGAATTTAATGCTTATGTTTCAGAAATAAAAATTGGTTTCCATCTATATTCTTACTAAGATTTGCCACATCTATCATTTGTGTTAACTTGTGTCACTAAAGGAGAATCGGAATTCATGAGAGAGAATCCAACTCCGAGTAAAACCAATGAGCAAATTACACCTGGTTAAAAAAGAAAATGAATGAATTAGGAGAAAAGTTATGATCGTTTTAAAAAAAGATGTCTAATGGGGTACCGAATTTTCTTCAATTACCAGCATAAGAGATGAGAACCAGCTTACGACGTCCAGCACGGTCAACAAAGAACAACCCAATGAAGGTACAGATGAAATTCACAGCAGAAACTCCAGCAGATATCCAAATTGCCATTGATTCTTCCCTAATACCTGACATCCTAATAATTGACGCACTGTAATACCTATATTAAGAAAAATGACAGAGACAAATTTTTAAATTTTCCTTTAAATGAGAAATAAATATAAACTTTTCAAGTGTGCTTCATACATCACAGTATTGATTCCAGACAGTTGCTGGAAAATCTGCATACAAAAACCAATGCATAGAGCTCTGCGCACGCCAGGTGACCTGAAGACTTGGACATACAAAGGACTTCCACCATTGAGGGCAATCTGCTCCTGAATAAGCAAAACACATAACAGTAAGTAAAAAAGTATTAACCCAAGTCAAGAATACAATAAATTTTCAAAGTTAAAAACAGAAAAAACATGCCTCCATCTCTCGCTCTTTATCTTCAATTGTTGCTTTAATTGAAGCAAGCTCTTGATCTGCCACTGCTGCCGATCCTCTAATGGCTTTGAGAACTTTATTTGCCTCATTATACCTACGAAAACAAAATTCTTGACCTCAGCAACAAACATTTTAATTTTCATATCCCATAATGCATCATACATATATCATTTACCTTTTTTGAGCTGCAAGCCAACGAGGACTTTCTGGCATGAGGCAAAAGCCAAGAAACTGAATTGCTGCTGGGACAGCAGCTAATCCAAGCATGTACCTGCCAAGTTTACATTTATAAGAGGGTTGTAATCATTTATAAAAATGTAGGTACTTGGTTTAAGGTAGTATATCTTACCTCCAGCCTTCATAAGACGTTGAATACAGACCAGCAATTATACTTGCAGCAAGCAAGCCAAGCGTAATAAACAACTGATATGCAGTAACAAGCATGCCACGGCTAGCTGAATCTGCACACTCAGCTATGTACACGGGCACGCTCATGCTCTCGAAACCTTACAACATGCAAATTCAAAACCTAGGTGTAGAGCTCTACAACAAAACTGAAAAAAATTGAAAGTCATGGAAAAAGTGAGAAGTAAACTGGTACTTTGAGTAACAGTTTTAAAATTAAGCAGTGTTTAGAAAAAGGATGACATGTATTAATGACATAAAAAAGGCTGAAAGCTGTTAATATGAAAATAAATAAAGTTGTAAGCTACCAATAAAAAGCAGAAAACTTCTTAATCTATGACTCCATAGCCATGCAAAAAAAAATAAAAAAAAATTAAAAAATGAACAAGAACAAAAAATCTGCAAAATTAGTAAACAAAATTGCCACGGTTTTTCAATCTCCAATATAACACACACAAAAAGATTTTCTAAAAGTCATACTGATGATCAGGAAAAAAATGTGGACAATATCCTACAAAAATATGCACAGTGCTGCTGAAATGATGAATACAGTTTTTAACTAACCTCCATCCGTAATGAGGCATGTCTGCTAATAATCCACACATAATAGCTGATACCAATTGCCCAAATGCAACATGGGTGACGAATGAGGGCATAGATGAAGCATCACGAGATGACATCTCTTCCAGATATTGAGGAGCTGCCACAGATGTGAATCCTACACCATGCAACATGAAGCAAGCAATTTTAAGAGAGAAATCAAAAAACACCACAACAAGTGTAGATTGATGCCACAATGGTATGTCTAGTCAAGCACATTGGCTGTAATACACGTTAAGAGTAAAGCCATTGAGATAATTAAGGACTTCATTTTAGAAAGTTTGTAATTTTCAGCAGAAGAAAACACAGACATAAAAAGATTAATATAAGATTTTTTCTACATACCCACAGCAACGCCAATAATAATACGACCAACAAGAAGAATTTCTTTGTTTTGAGCAACTCCCATAATTATTGATCCACCAGTAAATATCACCCCAGATATAAGAATTGCCTTCTTCCTTCCAAATCGATCTGATAAAACATGTCAAAAGTAAAACATTGTTTTGCAATTCAACCTTAGGAAAAAGATTATAGCGTATGACGACATAAACTTTACCGGAGAACCATCCTCCAATCAAGGAGAACACAAGTGCTGCGGCAATTGTCGAGGACACTATTAATTCATGCCAAACAGGAGACATTTCAAAGTCTTTGCTGTAAAGAAGAAGAAATTTATAAGCTCACTGCAAATAAGAGGTATTTCCTTTCTTTCTTCTTGCGTTTACAAATAAAAGAAGAAAAAAACACTTAAAAATACAATAAAATGCACAAAAATGTGAGAACTGAAAAAAAATCTTTGCCACAGATTGTAGGTTAATTCATCAAGAAAGATTTAACTCAAAATTAAGTCGTTTGCAGCTCAAGCTTGACATAAGAATGTGTTTCAATTGTTTCAAGACAATTCACATAAGTCTGATCATGTTAAGCCATGGTCGACATTACTTACTTGATGAGGAGCATAGCTCCAGAAACCACACCAGTATCATATCCAAATAGAAATCCCCCAAGGGTGCTCAGAGTGGTAAGGGTGAACACATAAAACTTGGACCGGCGCTTCAGTCCTCTCTCCGAAAGCAGATCCTCCTTACTCGTCATGTCCACATTTGACTGGTACTTGGTCGTCATGCTGGCACTCGTTTAAACGTTCAATCTTACAAGTACGAGTCGGAGGGGCTGTTGCAACCCCTATACAGCAGTACAACTTTTAACTCCGCTTCAAGACGCTGGAGAGGGGACACTTAATCGAGAGATCTGAAGGAATTCGCCATGCCTTAACTTCCCCCGAGAAGCCCAGGTCTGGGTGTGAGTCTCCAACTCAGAGCAACTGTTACAGTTTGCAACAGCTGACCCAAAGACGACGGCGAAGGGGTTGAAAAGACGAAAAACGTCAATGGCCCGCACGCGCACACGCAAACCACCCCGTCGTTAGTTCAGCCTCCCTCCGTCGCGGCGCTAGCGCCTCTTCCAGCGCCTGTTCTTCCGAGTGTCTCTCGGTGGCGGGGTAGTGCCGTCCGCGCTCAGCTGGAGGAGGCTGGTAATTCCCTGCTGCTTCGTGGTCCACTGCATCCGAGCTTGATGTCACCGCTGGTAGGTCCTGCCACTGACACTCGCTGACGAACACCAAGCACGCTCTGACTGCCGTCCTTCGACACACCCGGGTATCTGCGCAGCGTTTTGCACACTCCGCGTTTATATCTCACCCGGGGCGCTACAAACAACGCCCCCCAGGCCGCGTCCGAACACACCCGAGCACCCTCACCCATACGCGAGCGCGGGCGCGAAGGGCCCCCCGGCAGCGCTACCCGGACACAGCCCGTCTTTTGCGACTGCGCGGTCCCGCTCCCATCATCTTTAGCGGGTGTATGGCGACAGAGTTGGGTGTGGCAGGGCAGCATGACGGCAGTACCATTGGTAAGTAGACGCGACCTCAAGGCTGGGCGCCAGGACCGACCAGGACTCGGGAGGGTCCTGGCCGACGCCGGGGAGCAGGCAAAACACTTTGGCCTGCAGAGTAACTACACACTAAACTTTACCTAGTGACCTCATCTCCACTCCTGGCCGGCAGCGTAGGGCGCGGCGCGGCGCGGCGGACCCGCAGCTCCCCAGACCCACCCCCGCCCCGCACAGCGCCCTTGGCCCTGCCTGCCGCCGCGTCTGGTGCGGCTGTCTCATCTTTTGCATCCATTTTTCATTAAACAAACTTCCGATTTTAATTACGAGAGCTCTGTAAAGACGCCATGGCCCTGCCCGCATGCCGCAGCC